GAAGCCAATGGGATACTTACATGTTTGGTATTTTCATTAATGCCAAAACATTGTAATACATTTCTCAGATACTGCTTCTGTGTTAAACAAAGCTTCCCTCTCTGTCTATCTCTACTTATCTCCATACCAAGAATCTTCTTGGCCTCACCTAGATCTTTCATCTCAAACTCTTGATTCAACTGAGCCTTTAATTTGTCTATCTCCTTTTGACTTTTCGAAGCGATCAACATATCGTCAACGTACATGAGAAGATAAATGAAAGATCTATCTTTGAGCTTTTGCAAATACACACAATGATCATATTTGCTTCTAGTATACTTTTGCCTCCTCATAAAACTATCAAATCGTTTGTACCACTGCCTCGGAGATTGCTTCAATCCATATAGCGATTTGTTCAACTTACAAACCCATTTCTCACAACCACCATCTTTGTATCCTTCTGGCTGAGTCATATAGATCTTCTCTTCTAAATCACCATGCAAGAAAGCCGTCTTTACATCAAGTTGAGCTAGCTCCAAATTCAACTGTGCTACCAAGGCCAACAATATTCTAATGGAGGAATACTTCACAACAGGGAAAATACTTCATTGTAGTCGATTCCCTCCTTTTGAGCGTAGCCTTTAGCTACCAACCGTACCTTGTAACGAACATCTTTCTTGCTATGAGATCCATCTTTCTTTACAAATACCCACTTGCATCCAATGGCTCTTTTACCTTTCGGTAATTGTGCCAGTTTCCAAGTGTGTTGTTCTTTTGGAAAGATTGCATTTCTTCATCCATGGCACTTTTCCACTTATCACTTTCCAAGCTTTGTATTGATTCTTGGTAAGTGATAGGGATATCATCATCAACAACTGGAAGAGCATAAGCTACCATATCAACAAATCGAGCAGGTCTACGAATTTCTCTCATTGGCCTTGTAACTGCAAGTGGTTCTGGTGTCTCCAATAGTTCTTGGGTTTGAACCTCTTCATCTTCTGATTCTTCTATTGGAGTTGAAGAATCAGCTACATCAACTTCTAGGATCATCGTCTGCTGAAACTCCACCTATTTTGGAGTATGCTCCACCTGCTACGGAGTACTACTTGTCTGGACAGCTTCACTTGTTACCTTCTTTACTAGGGCAAATTCATCAAAGGTAACATCTCTGCTACAAATTATCTTCTTGGTGTCTAAACACCAAAGGCGGAATCCCTTCACTCCATGGGTGATTCCCATAAAGAGAGCCTTCTTTGCTCTCGGATCAAGCTTGGATTCCTTCACATGATAATAAGCAGTGGATCCAAATACATGTAAGGAATCATAATCAGTAACAGGTTTTCCAGACCATACCTCCAATGGTGTTTTTTCTCCTATCGCTGATGACGGCAGACGATTGATGAGATGGCCAGCATATGTCACAGCCTCAGCTCAAAATGCCTTGCCTAACCTAGCATTAGAGAATATACATCGAACTTTCTCCAATAGTGTTCGATTCATACACTCTGCCACCCCATTCTGTTGTGGTGTATGTCTAACAGTGAAGTGTCGAACAATACCATACTCATGGCAACATCACTTTTACATTCCCCTCTATTTTTCATCCTAAGACGTTTGATCTTTCTACCAGTCTGGTTCTCGATCATATTTTTCCATTTCAGGAAAATTTGAAGCACTTCATCTTTAGACTTCATCAGATACACCCAAACTCTTCTGTAAAAGTCATCTACAAAAGTTACAAATTAATGGTTTCCTCCCAAAGACGATGTCTTTGAAGGACCCCATACATCTGAGTGAATATAATGTACAATACCTTTTGTATTATGTATAGTGGTGCCAAACTTCACTCTCTTCTGCTTTCCCAGAACACAATGCTCGCAAAAGTTCAATTTGCAAGGATTTCTCTCCAGCATGTCCCAACCGCATATGCCACAACTGGGTTGCGTCCAAATCATCACCTCCGGAAGCTGCTGCAACTGCTCCAATAATTGTACTACTTTGGTAGTAATACAAATTATTTTTCCTGATGCCTTTCATCATCACAAGTGCGCCATATGTGATTTTTAAAACTCCATCTCTCATAGTGACTACTGAGCCTTTGGATTCCAAGGCTCCCAACGAGATGAGATTTTTCTTCAAACTGGGCACGTATCGGACATCCGTCAGAACTCTGGTTGATCCATCTTGATTCTTCAATCGAATTGAACCTATCCCAACAATTTTACAGGCATTGTCATTACCCATATAAACAACTCCTGCATTTAGTTTCACTAAATCGGAGAACCACTCCCGATTAGGGGACATATGATAGGTGCAACTCGAATCTAATATCCACTCATCGGAATGGAATGTTGTTGATGAAGCAACCAATGATATGTCAGAGTCATGTGCATCATGCTCTGCAACACATGCATCTGGAGCAGCTTTTCCTTTCTTCTTTAGCTTCGGACAATCTTTCTTCCAATGGCCTTTCTCATGAAAAAAAGGCACATTCATCTTTTCCCAGTCTGGACTTTGACTTTGATCTCCCTCTCCACTTTGGCTTTTGACTTTTCGAGCGACCTCTTGCCACCATGGCCTCCGTTGCTTCGTACTTGCTCTCCTTCTTGGTTTTCTTCTTGAGTTCATAACTATACAAAACAACAGTTACATTTTTAAGGGTAACATTATCCTTACCATAAAGTAATGTTGTCTCAAGGTGCTCAAATTCATTTGGAAGAGATGACAACAACATCAAAGCCAAATATTCATCTTTGAAGGTTTTATCCATGCCCAATAAGTCTTCCACTAGCTCATTGAACGCAGTGATGTGTTCATTCATACTGGTGCCTGGTTGATAATCAAATCTGAACAATCTTTTCTTCATGTGGGGACGATTCTGAGAGCTTTTCTTCAGGAATTTTTCCTCCAAAGCTTTCCATATCTTACTTACAGAAGTCTCGTTCTTGTAATCATACTTTTGCTCCCTGGAAAGACAAGATCGAATCGTGCTGCACGCCAAACGATTGATTGTTCCCCATTCTTTCTCCTCCATATATTCGGGCTTTTCTTCCTCAATGGAGATGTCTAGACCTTGTTGGAATAAAGCATCTAACACCTCGCCTTACCACATGCCAAAATGACCGGATCCATCGAATAACTCCACCGAGAAATTTGCATTTGACATCACCCTTCTCACTGGTCCAGATGAAGAGCTTGATGTCTCAACTGATCCGTATTTTGGCATTTTAATTCTAACGAACAATATTCAATATCAGGAACTGTATCTTTTCAGCAACGAAACCACCAGGATAACCTCAACCGAAGCTCTGATGCCAATTGTTGGGGAAAACGGGTTATTTTCCACACGAACGTAGTTTTAAAATTGACCTAAAATGTCAAGATTAAAACCACCAAAGGTTGCACAGCGGATAAACCTGTCAAACTATTGAATATTAAAACACAATGGAAAAGAACCGAATAAAAACAATAAAGGAGAGAACACACCAATTTTACGAGGTTCGACGAGAATATCGTCTACTCCTCGGGCACCACACCGGATGATAACTTCACTATATCACCAATATTACAACAAATGGAATTCTTTAGAATTCCCAAAGTGGGAGAATGAAGAATACAAGAGGAAGAAAGAACTTTTTTTTGGGATGATTTCTAATGGAAATACTTAGGCCTATTTATAGTTGAGTTTTAAGAACAATATGTTCAAAGTTTGGCCACCTACCAAAGAATTTTCCAATGTGTACAAGTTAGCCACCAAATATAAAATTCATATGTTCAAAGTTTGGCCACCAACCAAGATGAAATTTCCAATAAGTTGGCCACCAACCAAGATGAAATTTCCAACTTGTCAACTTAATTTCTAGACAAATCTAACACATTCTTCTAAAATAACATTGTAGTTTTAGCTATGCTCACTTTCAATCCTCAGGCCATGGAAAACATGCTAAAGATGTCCTGTATTACTGTTAGTTGATCTAGAGAATCATTTCCAAATACCAACATATCATCTGTAAAAAATAGAAGGGAGATAGACGGAGATAGTTTGGAGGTTATTAAGAGCTATCAACGTTGGTTATTAACCTCAATCTGAATCCTTTGGGCAAGCCTTTCCATACACAACACGGACATATAAGGGGAAATCGGATCGCCTTGACGAATACCTCTAGAGGGTTTGAATGAATCAGACATGGAACTATTCTAAAGGATTTGTGTCGAGACTGAAGTCACACAATGCATGATAAGATTTCGTAAAGCATCAAGTATACCAATATCCTGAAGAGTATCATTAATAAATCTCAATTCAAACTAGTCATACGCTTTTTCTAGATCTATCTTGATAGCCATTCATCTATGTTTTTTGGATTTCCTCCTCATACTATGGATCTAGAGACCTAACTTAGAAGAAACATTTTCAATCTATTTACAATTATCTTTGTGACAATTTTATAAAGAACCGTATATAAAATGATGGGGAGAAATTGACTTATCCACTCTGGGGTTGAAACTTTAGGATCTAGAACAAGTAAAGTTTTTTTCATATCGTCGGGTAAACCTAAAAAATACTTTGAAGACATGGTGAAATAAATAAAGTTAAGATATTGATGATGTTCTAATAACTCTACTCGATTATTAAATAATATATAGTGTCATGCAATTAAAATAGTCTATGTAATAATATAATTCATCAAACTATTTTAATGATTAAATAATGTGTTATTTTTTTTTAGAGATATTAAGTTCGAATAATTATATTTGTAGTATGTATATTGTTAATAATTAAGAAATATTATAAATATATATTATTTTATAATCAATTTAAATGATTGAAAAGAATATTATAATACGAAAAGAAGAAATACCTTAAATTAAATAGATTAATAAACGAAAAACAATCCATTATATATGAAGCTATTGGGTCAAAAGACAAGGTGCAAGGATACTGCAACACGCGTCATTGGAGGTTTCTTTATATCCATATCGTCGTGTAATGTCCGACACTTTACAAAATCTGATTGGCCCTGTAATCTATGTATACTTTTTGTATCGCAGAGAGAAAAGAAGAAAGGGGAAAAGCTAAACATAAATTTAGTGATGAAAGAGTGATGAAAGTTGCGGTAGACTCGGATCCTGTCCCCCTTCAGAATGGTCCAAACAAAGCCTTCATAGAATCAAACATCTTCTCTCTCTCTCTCTCCAGTATTGTTCTTTTACTCTTTTAGGGGGGGGGGGCGACCCTAATGGAAATGGGTGATCAGTGCGGCCTGCCTGATCTCCGGCGGCTTTTGACAAGAAGAACCAATTTTCCGGCAGCCCTGCCGATGTCTTCTGAGTCATACCTTGCTCATAGGAACATGGCTCAGTCAGTTCCTTACCATGATGCAGCAGCCTACATGCTGAGCAATGGGATTGCAATGCCTAGTGGTTTGCTAAGGTTTAGCACCGCCACTGCTTTTACTGCTTCAACTTCAGCTTCTGCTGGTGGTGGATGGAGCGTGGGGAATTGTGACAGGGGAAACAGCCGGTGGCCTAGGCAAGAAACTCTTACACTTCTTGAGATCAGATCTAGACTTGATTCCAAGTTCAAGGAGGCTAACCAGAAAGGACCCTTGTGGGATGAAGTCTCTAGGTATATATATATATATATATTGATATTATCATTAATACATTAAACTGACTTCTCTATTCTTCTTCTTCTTCTTCTTCCTTATCGTTCATTTGGATTTCCATTTTTTTGTTCCAATCTTATGATACATGCTCAATGAAGAAACCCTATTTAGTTTTGCTGAGCGAAACCAGTTTGTCTCTCTACTTGCATGAAAAGTCACACAAAAGTTTTCAATCTTTTCCTTTCAGATGGATTTCTATTAGTTTTGGATTGAAACCAACAGAGCTGTGAGTTAAGTCAGAGATGCAGGTGTTTTTTATTCTTTAAAAATAGAAATAAAAGATGCTTTTTTTCATAGCTTAAACAAATATTACATTGTTTTGCAACACTAGTTAATCCCAATGGAAACCAGAAAGGAATGCTTCGGAATCATTTAATCCTTTTCAATTATTTAAGACACTATGATGAGGAATGTTGGCATATGATTAGTTCGTCCATATTTATAATTTTGAATTATTTGATGTCTATATGTAGGATAATGGGTGAGGAATATGGGTACCTGAGAAGTGGGAAGAAATGTAGAGAGAAGTTTGAAAACCTTTATAAATACTATAAGAAGACTAAGGATGGTAAAGGTGGAAGACAAGATGGGAAAAATTACAGGTTCTTTAAACAGCTGGAAGCCATTTATGGTGAAACAAACAATCCTCAAACTTCAGTCCCAGAAACCTACATTAATAATAATGTCCCGCTGCAGGAGTCTATGCAACAACAAAAGGTAAGCCACGCCCTCAGTTTCTCCGAATCTGAATTTGATTACTCCACGTCTGGGAACATCGACGACGGCCTAAGGGATAAGAAGGGATCAGGGAAGACGAAGAAGGTGAAGGAGTTTGTGGATTCGCAAATGAACAAGTTGATCCATTCACAGGATGTTTGGATGGAGAGAACGTTGAAGCTCATCCAAGATAAAGAGCAAGAAAGACTGTTAAAAGAGGAGGAATGGAGGAGACGAGAGGCTGCTCGGTTTGATAAACAACACGAGTTCTGGGTTAAGGAGAGGGGTTGGATCGAAGCTCGAGATGCTGCATTAATGGCGGCTGTGAGAAAGTTGAGTAAAACCCAGAACGAACATGAAATCTCGACCTTGGAACGAAGATTCCTGGAAATAGAAGAGAAAATGGTGAGTTTGGGGTACGAACGTGATGCAAGCAACGCAGAATGTTACAAGAAGCGTAAAGAGGATTACTTTCAGAGGTTTGACTCCATTGTTGATGGTCAAGAAAATAAGAGCTTTCACAGTGTGAAACAAAGGGTAGAGCAGGCTGCCATGTATTCATCGTCATCACCTTCGAGATCATATGACATCAATTCCTTTCATATTTCTGCAGTAAACCAATGGGACAGGTATGGATTGAAGACGATGAGTAAGGGAAAGAATCAACAAATTTAGCTCTCGTATCTTTTTTCTCTTAGTTGTTGTATTATTAGTAATGATGCATATGAAAGAGCTAAAACTATATCCCCAAGCAAGTTCATTCTCTCGGAATCGAACAAATAAGCACCAAGAAAATATAATATTTTGTTAGGGTACGAATTTCGATATTAAAAAAATTATTATTTTTTTAAATGTGTATGTGTTCATGATTGATAAAGAAATTTTTTAAACATATACTCTCTTATACTATTAAAAAATAATTTAAAAAATAATTGATGTTGAATGTGATTACCAAATATATATCAAGATATTAGTTAGATAAAAATACACTTTAACTTTTTCTTTTTTTGAATTGAGAGCAAAGAATTAAAATCTGTTTATAAAATTAAAATGAGTTATTTTAAATTTTAGACGAATAATTTAGTTTTTTCTGTCAATTTTTTTATTCAGTTCTTAAATTTGAAATATATTCTCTTCAATCTTGTAAATTCAATTTTTTCTTTTTTGATAATAATTTCCTTTTTAATTTATTTTGTTAACTTTTATATTTTATTTAATTTAATTATTCCGCTACAACTCTTTGTAATCTTTTTTCTTATTAATTTCTTGACTCATTTACAATATTTTATCCTTAAAATATATTCTTTAAAAAAATATCATAAATATGTTATATAATTTTATATACCATTTAATCTATCAAATAGCATTACAAATCTTACTTACAAATTTGAAAAAGAAAAAGAAACATTTTTATATATGTTCCATATGATTATAGAAGTCGTTTAAATCGGAATCAATCAATATCATAATATATATCCTAAACAATTACTTTTTCATGTCAAAAGAAAAATAATTGCATTTAAAATTAAATAGAATCTTAAAGAAATATATTCGATATGACTCGATTTTATCGATTCAAAATTTTTAATAAAATCCAAATGATAAAAATGATATTTATAAAATTTATTAATTTAATTTTTTTCAATCGAACTCGATCCGACACGTATTCAATTCTTGAATAAATTTAATATTTTTCCAGAAATTAATTAATTAATAAATTCTATTTGGCTAAAATTAAAAATGGAGGAGGAACCATTTGTGGTTATATATATAAAATATATGTGTTGAAGAATCATTTTCAGTGCAGCACAGAGTGTCAGCCACTGGGGTGTACTTGTGATGGAGTTGAATGGGAATTGTATATTGAATATCCTTGCATTTATTTATAATGCATAATTGTTTGGTATTAAATTATAGCTTCCGTGTGCAGATCATTTTTCCAACAGACAAACTGTGAGTGGACGATTAAACTTGACTCTTTTAATACCATGAAAGATCAATAATCCATTCCGCCCATAGGAAAGGATGTTTGGGGTCAATACGTCCCTTGGCCAACAACAATTCCTGTCTGAAACAAAATGTAACCCTCCAAGAATAACATCTTTAAACATCGGAGGAGCTTGTTAGGGTTGTCGATCCAAGCCACAGACAGTGCACTCGATAAACTCCACCTAGAAGAAGAGTGCACGGAACACCCTTCCAAATGATCCATAGAACCGATAGTTCCTGAGAAACGAACAAGATGAATACCAAACGATATCTAAGAATCCCTCCTACGCCACCTTCAACATTCCGTAAAAACCCTACGCTTGGGTAGTTGGACACGAGTAGGAATTCTGTCCTGAACTGCTTTCCATATGAACGTTTTCGCTTTATGAGGGGTCGAATAAGAGCCATAGAGGGTTTGATTCAGACCCCACAGTCATTGCAGCTACACTAAACGCTTTTGGGGAGTAGCAACCCAATACAATCAGCAAGCTCAGAAATCCTTACGGACCCAGGTGATGGCGGGGAGAAATGTTCCACAACCAAACCCCATTGCCCTTTGAACCAAACTCACAAACCTTGCCAAAGATACATTTAATGGATGTTCTCTTACCTAATGACCAGACCAAAAAATTATGAACTTGTCTGTCAGAGAACAAAGCGAATATTTCTGTTATACATATCCTTTTAATTGAACAAGGGTCGTCACATGTTCTTCCATACTCCGATTCATTACGGGATCGATTAGAATTCACCCATAATTAAATGCACATGTGTAGTTTACCCTTGATTCAATGCTAGTTTTACAACTAACACAACTGTCAAAAACAAGCTAACTTTGAGGATTAAAATTTTAAAAAAATCCAGCTTTTGACATGTTTACAATAATCCACCAAAATATGTAACGAAGGCAATCTAACATGTTAGATTAATGCATCGATGCACTCCTTATGCATAATTCAAGGGACTAAATCCCTCATATGACCAAATACGGGAGAAGTGACTCAACTGCTTCCGTGTCCCAAATCACCTCCAACCAGGTAGCCATGGCCTCCAGTAACAGTAGTGGAGATAGCAATCTCATGCCCATTATAAGACACAAACTGAATGGGAACAACTATCTCCAATGGTCCCACTCTGTTATGATGTTCATATGTGGAAGAGGAAAGGATGATTATCTCAAAGGAGTGGCTGCCAAGCCAAGCCAGGATGATGAGAAGTTCAAAATATGTAACGATGGCAAACTAACAAATCCACTTCACAACCAGGAGATATTTACAATCAACAAACATAATTCAAGGGTTTGATCGGCATTCCACATGCTTCTCGATTTCATCATCTTCACTTGTACGGGACATGTTTTCCCCTGCTTCTGGATTTCCCCCTCTTCCAAAAGAATTCAATGGAAAATGGTTCCTTCTCGACAAACAGTCGTACGCGTGCCTGTCGAAAGACTATGCGCTGAAATGAGACCGAATCAATGAACTGAACAATGGTTGCATCAACCGTGTCTTCTCGGGGAACTCCCACAGTGATATTCGGCAAACAGGACACGTGGAATGCTGTTGTAGCCATTTATCGATACATATTACATGGAAGGAGTGCTCACAATAGGGGAGGATTCGTAACGTGTCTTCACAGCGGTATTCCGAAAGGCAAACTGTGCACCTGTGACATATAGCAATTGAACATTGTAATATGTTAGGTTCGGATTAAGATGCTATAAGCAATCTGTAGAATTATTTGGAGTTTAGTTTGAATGCATATCTGTCTGCGTGTTAGAGGGCCAAAATTAAGGAAATCCAGAGTTAAACATATTAGTATTTTGTTCCATATTTTTAGGGGATTCTGGTAGCTTGTTACCATATCCGTATATATTTATTTCCTGTTTATTTCTTTATGTTTTAGATAGATTTGACCTTATTCTAAGTAAGTTGTATATATCCCTAAAAATTAGGTGTTTCAGCATCTATATATATAGGGAACGTGTAACCTGTTTTAATATATTGAAAATAATAAAGAATTCCTCTACTTTCAACATGGTGTCAGAACATTCTCTGAACCCTAAATCCCTCATATGACCAAATACGGGAGAAGTGACTCAACTGCTTCCGTGTCCCAAATCACCTCCAACCAGGTAGCCATGGCCTCCAGTAACAGTAGTGGAGATAGCAATCTCATGCCCATTATAAGACACAAACTGAATGGGAACAACTATCTCCAATGGTCCCACTCTGTTATGATGTTCATATGCGGAAGAGGAAAGGATGATTATCTCAAAGGAGTGGCTGCCAAGCCAAGCCAGGATGATGAGAAGTTCAAAATATGGAATTCCGAGAATAATATGGTCATGTCATGGCTCATCAATTCCATGACAAATGAAATCGGAGAGAACTTCCTACTCTACAGAACAACAAGGGAAATCTGGGAGGCTGCAAAGGAGACGCATTCCAACAATGAGAATACATCTGAGCTGTTTGAAGTGGAGAGTGTTCTCCATGACTTCCGTCAAGGAGATTTAACAGTAACCCAGTACTTCAATACACTCAACCGCTATTGGCAACAACTGGACTTGTTCGAGGAGCACAATTGGAGCTGTCTAGATAATGGAATCAGGTGTAGACAAATCATTGAACGGAAGAGAATATATAAGTTTCTGATTGGATTAAATAAAAATCTAGATGAAGTAAGAGGAAGAATCTTGGGATCTAAACCTCTACTTAATATCCGGGAGGCTTTTTCTGAAGTCCGGAGAGAGGAGAGTCGAAAGAAAATCATGATGGGCTCTCAAGAACCAATGACAAGTCTTGAGAGCTCAGTCCTTGCTGTTAGAGGGAACTCCTACAACACCAATGACACCAAACCAAAGAAAGGACGCCCTTGGTGTGATCACTGCTGCCGACCTGGTCACACCAGTGACACTTGCTGGAAAATTCATGGTAAGCCTGCAGATTGGAAGTCTTCTTGGTCTGCCAACGACAAAGAGGGGCGAGGCAATTTTGTCTCAATGGATGACAAACCTTCATCTGAACCTACTCCATTCAGCAAGGAACAATTAGAGGTTCTACAGAAGCTGTTCAACCAGTCTTTGCATGCCTAAACCTCCAATGTGGTTGGTACTGGGTCCTTAGCCCAAAAAGGTAATTTTTTAAGCGCTTTCAATGTTAAAAAAGAGACGTCAAATCCATGGATTATAGATTCTGGAGCTTCAGACCATATGACTGGAAATTAGGACCTATTTTCTACTTACAGTCCTTGTGATAAACACTTAACGGTCAGAATAGCCGATGGTTCACTCTCAAAAGTGATTGGTACAGGTTCTATTAAAGTATCAGAGAATATTACACTTGAATCAGTCCTTCTTGTGCCAAATTTGAATTGCAATTTACTATCCATTAGTAAACTTACTCGAGACCTGAATTGTGTGACTAAATTTGGTTCAACCATGTGTGAATTTCAGGTCTTGGACTCGGGGAAGACCAGTGCTAAAATGTTCTCGGGACTCTATCTTCTCGAGGTTACAAATCCTCCTCAAGGCACAACTTATCAGTCCGATTGTCTAGTGTCTGGTAATCCTACTTCTTTTTTTGTCAGTTGTTCTAATAATGATAGTGCAATCATGTGATGACACTATAGATTAGGCCATCCGAATTTCTTGTATCTTGAGAAACTGTTTCCTTCTCTATTTCATAATAAAAATACAAATGATTTCAAGTGTGAAATTTGTCAATTCTCTAAACATGTCCGTAATTCTTATCCCAACCAATCTTACAAAGAATCCCATCCTTTTTC